TGATGTTAAATATCAACCAAAATAATATATTTATCTGAGCACTAAATCAGATAAAGGTCTGAGAAATCAGACAATACTTTAAGTAAGGCCCATGTTGGACGATAGATAACAACAAATAAAACTATATTTTAAATTTAGACATGGGTAAGTGTCAGGCTTTCAAATGAATTAAAATTCTGTCTGGGTCTTTGGTGGATCAATAAGCTGGAGGAAAAGATTGCAGCCTGCCACACCCTCTCATCGTCCTGTGTTAAGAGGATTCTGACAGTTAACTCAGGGGTGTTGATTTATTTAAACTATTATAATCATCCTACTGTAACCAGGTTTCTGTAATCAATCAGTGTCTTGATCAATTATTAATTCAAGTAGTAACAAGGATAGAGAATATAGAGACCTAATGTTGGTTCACTGACTGATTGGCTGAGCGATGCATTGATTGACTAGTTGGGTTGTTGGGTTGGAAGAAACTGAAATTCACTGTGCAAAGGGTTTGAGTCCAGAAAAGTGAACCGGCCAGCCACTGTAACTGTCTGGTGTAAAGGGATGTTAAGTTCAGATGTGGTTCCTTTTCTTTACAGATAACCACAACACCAAAGAAAAGATAAAACGGATTCAATGAAAGCATAATAAAATAAAATCATCATGGTTTTATCAGTCTAGAAACGAGAAAGCTTGTTGAGATATTTAATTTGTGTACTCAAGTTGTGAAATGTGTTGGACTGCATTCGTGTTATTGTTTGACTGAGACGCAGTATTTTAGTTGTCACCACAAGGGGGCACAGTTTATCCGTGAAGGCACGTATGCTGCCTCATCACGAGTATGAGCGGGTGGAACTCAGGAATGTTCGCTTTGAAAGACAGGATGTAATGTGTGTCAGTGTATAAATAAAGTTTCCAAAGAGCTTAAGGATATTCTTTTGAGATTTGAACTCGTCCAAGATTTTTGTAGCGACACCTGCGGTGTCGAATTAAAACTCCAGCGTGCTCTTGAGTTATCGCATTCACAAACCTCGGTGTCCACGCTGGCCTCCCAGCAGGGGGATGGTCGTACCCCATCAGCCTTTTATGGTTGAGGGGTAAAAATGTGCGGTTCTTAAAATGGAAGTTTAATTATGCAAAATATTCATATTTGCTTTCAGGTGAGTAAAAACCTGAATGATTTATCATTTGTTTAGAATGTTTGTATAAATAACGCCTCCCGTGCTCTAAGTTTTATTTTTACTTGTGTTAAATATTTTTGGAGAAAAACAGGTGTTTCTAAATAGAGCCTGTCCCTACATCTCCCACAGTGCACCGCGCCCGGACGTGACGTGTCGGTCTCGGACGTGACGTAGAGTGTACGGCGGTGGCCGGTGTGTGTGGATGATGGCGGCTCCTCTGGAGGTCCTGCTGAGCAGCGATTCGGGGTCCCAGCTGTGGAACTGCACCGTGTTCGACCCGCACAGCGGCTCCAGTCTGCTCTCGTACCGCGGCGGGAACAGCGGCGCTCGCAGCCTCACGGTGCTCGGCGGGGAGTACCTGCTGTCCGCGCAGCTCGGCAAGAACTTCATCAACGTGTGGGAGCTGCAGAGAAAGGTAGGACAGCACCTGGCCCAGCTGAGCTCACCTGAGCCCACCTCGCTCACTAGGCGAGAGTCACCAAAGTAACGCTCCGCCGCTCAGCGCGGACAGGGGCTCAAAAACCCGCAGTCCCTCTAAAGGTGTAAACAAAGCGTTTAGAAAGCTGACACTTTAATTCTGTGAAAAAGAAAAAGTAGAGCCGTTGTCAGAACCACTCGAACCCCCTACCGAATCCCGTTTATCTGTCCTCACACCTTACCTGTGTGATGGCTGCAGCTCAGCGTTAAAGAAGCTGATTCGTGAGTCCACGTGTTTTCGCACAGACTGCTGTGTTAGTACACACAGGTCTTGTTGAGACATCCTACAGATGTGCAGTTTCTTCCTTGAAGCATTCTACCTTGAAAGCCTGCTGCTCAAATGTAACATGGACACACCTGGTGGTACAGCAGGTACGCAGAGCCGTTCTCAGAGTGTTGAGGGTGTGCTGCAGGTCACTGTGGTGATGGTCGCTGATCACGTGTTGTTTGAACCTTGCTGACCTGTGTCTGACTTTCCCTTGAAGGTTCCATCACCTCAGTTTGATATCTGAATTTGGAAGCAGAAAATTAGAGGTCATCCAGGTCTTTATCTTTAAGACAGTCCTGCAGTTTAACTACTTGGTGTGTGTTATCAGGCTTCATGGATTGGATAGTATCGAACACTGCACTGAGGTATAGCAGGACAAGCAGAAAGATGAGTCCACTGTCAGAGGCCATAAGACGATCATTTGTAACCTTCACTAAAGCTGTTTTTGTGTTGTGATGAGCTCTGAAACCTGATTGAAACTCTTCAAATAAGCCATTTCTCTGCAGATGATCAGAGATGTTTTTCAACTACTTTTTCAAGTGTTTTTGATATGAAAGGAAGGTTGGAGATTGGCCTATAGTTAGCTAAGACCACTGGGTCATGTTCCACAAAATGCATCAACTAAGCCCCATGTCCTCCTATCAGAGGAGCAGCTGTGCTGGTGCTTGGAGGGGCGTTAAAGAAGTAGGTCTCCAGATGTGGCGCTCTCCAGGACCCGCTCAGGGGCCTCGGGTAATCTGAACTGCTCAGCGCACAATGGAGATCATCAAATATTGTTTTCAGTTCTTGCTTTATTGTATTTGATCTAGTTTTATTTTGGTAGCAAAAATGTTATTCACACTGCGTTTCCTCTTTTAATTTCCTCTAGCAACTCTGATAGACGTCTTTAAAGAAAATAAAAAGAAATGCTGCTGGAAATACCCAATCATCAGAAGCACACAAAGCGTCACAATAAAAATGTTTGCTGGGGTTTATGTTTGTTTCTAATGTGAGACATCAGAGCTCTGAACTGTATACAGCTCCATGAAGTGTGGTACCTGGATGGCATTACCTTAGGGCAACTGTTGCTGTGATTTGGTGATGTATGTAAATAAAATGGTATTGAAGTGAAAATTGAATGTCTGATCATGCTCAGAGCCTAAAGCAGAAAAGAAGATGGGGGGTTAAACACCAAGCTGATGCCCATGTTCTGATATTCATGGTCTCTGATAATCTCTGACTGGGCTTTTTAAATTTTGTTAAGCCAGCGAACAGAGTAAGCCTGGATATGTTGATCTTCCCTCGTAGACACACCCACTTGTTCTTTTGTTGTTCAGGATCAGCTGCAGCAGAAGATCGTGTGTCCCGGTGTGGTCACTTGTCTTTCTGCTTCACCTAATGGACTCTTTCTTGCTGCTGGAGTCGCTGAGGCCATTTACCTGTGGGAGGTGAGTCTATTCAAGCTCTGATTGGCTGAATGTAATTTATTAATTTTTAAGATCCTGTTTAGCCTGTGCTGTACGACTCAATAGGCAGACAGCATGATGCAAATCACAAGTTCTTTCAGTAACTCTACTGATGTGAAGTTACTGTTCAGCAGCATTCATTCATCCTGGTCACTCATCAATCAAGCGGTCAGTAAGCAATCTGCCCTTTGATGAATTGGATTGCACCAGTCTGTGATCAAGCTGGTGACCAGTGTGATGAGGAAGTGCCAGGCTGTTGTGGCTCTGTGTGGTTTGTACAGATGCTCGTGAGGCCCCTGATTGTTCAGTTCAGTAAATAAACTGTTAAACATGTCTTGTTTCTTCAGACTTCAGTCATCCGATCCAATATATGTTACACAAAAGAGAGTCAATAGCAGCTGTTTAGCATTGGCAGAGAAGATTTGGTTTGTCATGGGTACAGCCCACATAACTGAACTCTGTTGCTCAACCCACGAATGCCTTTTCTCTACAAATGTGGCACCATTTAAAAAAAAAAACAACAACAAAAAAACCCAGACTTGCCAATATTACAGGAACAGTTGTTACCAAAAAGAAAATATTGACCAAACAAAGTTTAGAATACATCCATCCATCTGTTTCACTCTTATTTAATTTAGTCTTGCTGGGGGAGGAGATTATCTGAGCTATAGGTGACACCAGGTACACATTGACAGGTCTCCGGTTTATCACAGGGTTAACATAGAGACGGATCAGCACTCAGGCTCAGTCAGGACTTGGACTGGGGAAGGAACTCTGAGAACCAGGAGAGAACCCACACAAGAATAAGAAGCACAGCTACCCACATTCGTGTGGAGAAAAGATTCTCATATTCTTGTGTTCTCTGAAGAACTAACAGATAAAGTTAATCTGAACAAAAAACACGTCTGTAAGCATCTCCAGGTGTTTAACGTAAAAGCTCATTATTGACTTACTGACACCACAAAAAGCTGCTTAGATGATGCTGACAGAGGAGTTTAAGAAAGAGCATCACCATCTCAGAGCTCCTCAGCTGTTTACATCCTGTTCATCAGAGAGGTCACAGTAGAAGCTGAATGCATGGAGGAGGGTTTGTAAAGTGAAATGTGAACACAGGATTGGAGATCAGCTCGCGCTGTGCTAAGACTAACTCACTAAAACTGGTTCATGAGAACATCTGGACCTCCTGCAGGTTCAATGTTAGAATAAAGCTCCAGCAGACATATGGAGGTGATCAGAGGCTGAAGGAGCTGATTGGAACGAGGATTCAAACATTTCAGGAAGAGCTTGGAGAGACAGTTCTTCCTTTTATGTTTTTGTCGTTTTTAGGGGGGGGGGTTTTGTCTCTTTGTTCAGGTTTGTTTACTTTGTTTTCTCACTGATCAGGTGTGCACAGGTAAACTGCTGTCTGTCCTCAGTCGTCACTATCAGGACGTCACCTGTCTGAAGTTCACTGATGACAGCAGCCATTTTGTTTCTGGTGGAAAAGACAACCTGGCTCTGGTGTGGAGTCTGTCAAGGTGAGACATACCTGAAAACACATCTGGAGCGTTCTGTTGCTTTTAATCAGGAGTAAGGTGTTTCATGACAAGAAGACTAATGTGAAGTCAGCCAGGAGAGAGGCGCAGTGTCCAGCAGGTGCAGCTTTAGGTGTGTGTGTGTTTTATAAAATTCAGACTTGCCTGGTAAGGTCGGCGCGTTGCCTGTGACTCTGAGATGTGCCATACGGATCTCTGACTCACTTACTCTGTTCACTGTGTTTCAGTGTTGTCCAACTGGATGTAAGCCACGCCCCTGAGCCTCGCCACATCATGTCTCGTCACTCTCTGCCAATCACAGACCTGCACTGCGGCCTGATGGGAGCTCAGGCTCGAGTCGCCACCGCCTCCTTAGACCAGACAGTGAAGGTGAGTTTGTGCACCTCTGCTCATGTCACTCAGCGATCCAGACAGCTGTGACCCAGGTAAAGCGGGCAGCTGATGATCTTCATCTCACCATAATCAAGAACAGGAGTTAGCGTGGTATTGAGGAGGAAGCTTACTTTGTTTAGTTTCTCTAAACAAATTAGTGTCTTGAAACTGTGTCTGTGTCTGCAGTTCATGTAGTAATGGGTTAAATCATACCAATCAGAGCTCAGCACAGTAAAATATCAGTCATCACAGTCTTAGAGCTGTTTGTTTCTGCTAATTGTCTAGGTATGGGAGCTGTCCTCAGGCGAGCTACTCCTCTCGATCCTCTTTGATGTGGAGATCATGTCTGTGACCTTTGACCCTGCTGAGTACTTCGTGTTCTGTGGAGGAAGTGATGGAAATATTTTCCAAGTGTCTCTGTGCAGCCAGGTGAGTCTGTCTCATTTTCTCACCCAATCATGTTTTGACTCCTCCCAGCTTTAAGGGGAGACGATAAAGTTTACCTGTTTGAACTGTTTGCAGAGTCTCGGTCGGGAAAAGTCGTTCCAGTCGGATGGCGAGGGGAATCAGGTGTTTAAAGGTCACAGGTGAGACAGCCGCTGGCGTTTGTTTGCAGGAATATGGTCGTGTGTGTGCACGAAAACCAGCTTTCTTTTTTCTTCTTTTCAAAATAAAGTCTCACGCTAGAAGCTTTGATGAACCGTTTTTACCTTTTTTTTTTTTAATAGTAATAGTGAGAAAAAAACTGTGTGGACATTAAAGCTGGTGGGCCTAAATGTCACGCCACAAGTTCTTAGAATACGAGGGGGAACACGTGTATCAGAAACCCAGGGAGGAGAGACTGAGCAGGTCTTAATCACACGCAGTTTATTCCCTGAGGAGGAGACCAGGAATAAATAAACACAATTCTTTTGAACAACTTTTGCAATAAGATGTTCTTTGTACATTAAATCCCGCCCAGTGCCGCGATAAAATTGTCCTACAACCTAAGACAAATGTTCCTTATATGTACAAAGAGAGAGGAATTCCTCTTCTGATTTTTGGATCACGCCAGCCTAGTTTCAGGAGGACGAGGAGAAACTCCCATCTCCGTCCTCTCTCTCTATCAGGCTCGTCACATCACAACCCAGCTGCGCTCCGCACTTGAGTCTCTTGCTAGCTGCTACTTCCCTCGTGGCACCGCCCTGTAAACAGACAGACACTGGACAGAAACGTCATCCGTGAAGCTGGCCTGGCTAATAGCCACGGTGACCCTCCCCCAACACGGCTGCACCCGGCAAACAACATTGGAAGCCGTTTCACCTGGCGATCCGGTAGCATGTCCTTCTCTCCCACGCCTGGTTCCTCCTTCCTCTCGAGCCTGTGCCTGTCCTTTTCTTTTAACAAGTCTGTTCGACCGCTGATAAGCCACCTCAGGGCCCACCCACACCTCCACAGATGCAACCATTCCACAGTGGATTATAGCAACATTATGCAAAACACAAAAATGATGCAAATAACATCAATACTATACATACAAATAAACGCTAAAATCAGAATAAAACGTAGCATAAAACAAACACAAATTTCCACTGTGTGACAAGTTGGAAATTTGTCTGTAAAGATTTATATCAGCGGATAGCCCTGGGTCATTTCCTGTTCCTTTTGCAGTAAAAGGCTTGTTCACTGAAAGCAGAGGGTGAAAATCTGTAGAAAGGACGGGATTGCTTCAGTGAGTTTAATCTGACACCAACCATTTCTCTGTGGCGGTGACAGGAAGTGCGAGTATTTTCATGTGTGTGGAACAAATTGTGTTTCCGGTACGGTGCGAGGAGCGGCGCTGGTGATCACGTCGAGCGTTTGGAGGTCAGCGAGTCCACCGATAATTAACCTTCATCGTCTGTAACAGTCACGACGTTTAAGCACAAAGGTAGAACAAGTGGGGCGGGGCTTCAGACGGAGTGTGGCTGGGGCCTAATATGAGTAGCAGAAAATTAAGAAACTTCATGTGTTGTACAAACAGTTTTATCTCCATGTTTGAAAATAAATGAATAACATGTAGACCGTCAACAGGATATGACCATGCCAGGCGACCAGTTCTTTATCACAGCAGAGTATTGTCCACGTTTTCACGGTGCTTCTCGTCAGACTTGTGGGAGTTTGCTTGGGCTGAGGTGTGACATCACGGCGATAAATGGTGGTGGGCTGTCTCTTCATTAATTCCAAGCTCGCCAAGCAGTGGGTGTGGTAGGAAATATGAACGACCGTAAACTGAAAACAGGTGTGGGGAAAACGATACGTGTGATGAAGAGCTCTTGTCTCCATCGGTGAAATAATCCAGATGGTAGTGAATAACACACGTCAGAGGAAGCCCTTCTAACAGGTGTTTACTGTGGATTAACTTCAATGATCAAGGTTCAGGATGATTGTTGATTAGGGTTTATTAACTGTATTCTGTGTTCTCCTCAGGAACATGGTGACGTGTCTCTCAGTGTCGATGGACGGGACTCTCCTGCTGTCAGGGTCACACGATGAAACGGTTAGACTGTGGGACATTCAGAGCAAACAGAGCATCCGCTGCCTCACACACAAAGGTAAGTCCCGCACCGTGTGACATCATCAGGGTTGATAGTTTTTCTATCTGTGCTGCCTTGCTCAAAAGAAATCTCAGCTTGAGATCTACTTCTGGTTACATGTGGGTCAATGGAAGCTGCACTTTTAAGCTGTCACCTCAGGGAGGTGCTGTTTAAATGCCTCCTCCTCAGCTGCTGCTGGGTTATTAATGAGTGGTGACGCTGGCGGCGCCGTCTCCTCCTCTGGTGTCTGCTTGATGATGAGCGGCGGTGTGGTTCTGACAGGAACACGAGAAGGGACCTCCCCGCCGTGATCGTGACTGACATTTTGTAATTAACCAAATCCTCCGCGCCAAATTCGTCTCACTTCAAACGGCCGTCAGCGACCGTAATCCCTGCTTTGGCCGGATGCGCGGCTCACCCTCCCCCCCCTCCCGGTCACGTTTCTGCTCACAAAGAGCCAGAGTGAATTTAAAGAGAAAGCTTCATCCTCCATGACGACAACGCCTCAAAAGGATTCGTCTCAGCAGAGCAGATTCAGCTCCTCACAAAAAGGCGAGAGGAGGTGCTCGCTCTCAGCCCGTCTGATGGTTTTACCTGACGTGTGCAGAGTCGGACTCATCAGCGTGATGAAACACCATAGAACATAATTCCTGCCATCTCAAACCTCACCTGCTGCTGAAGAATTTTTAACCTGGCTTCACTAAACATGACCAATGTGCTCCCCTCAGCACTGGTCTATGAGGAAACATTTCCTCGCCATTTTTAATCAGTTATTTTGTTTCATTTGATTATGGTGAGAACAATGATGCCTCACAGGAAGTAGATCATTTGATGGTTGGGTTTGACTGAGGCAAGTCGGTGCAGAAGTCTCGGATCTGAGATGCTGTGATTGGCTCAGGATCACGTGATCCTCAGAGACGTCATTTGAGATCCATCTACAGGTGCTAAGCTCAGAGGAGACGCTGCATCCCATCACTGTTATCGAACACATTGTGTGTGTGCGCGCGATTGATTATCTGAGCTGCTGTGAAATAAACCAAATAAAGTGAGAGGTTCATGAAGAGTTCATGAGAAGCGAGGAGGGGGAGGTGTGCATCAGTCAGAGTTCTCCTGCCTCCTCCGCCGTTTCTCAACGTGTCAGATCTGCGACTGTTATAAAGAAACATCCATCTGACAGCAGAGCACCGCTCCTGCAGGCGACGAGGCGAGACCACCTCTCTCTGCTGCCGCCACCTCATCTCAGGACTCATTACCCCGAGAGGCTGCGGGGAAACACTGACAGCTCTGAGGGCCCCTGAACACATCGTACTAGAATAAAAAACACAGTGACACTTGAACACACCATGCTGCATTGAACCGTACACCTGAGCGTGACAGCATTTTCTGACAAACATCAGTGGCTCAGTTGAGTTGTCTTCTGCTCGGACTTTTCAGCACAAAGTTTCACTCCTCGGGGATTTTATTTATGATGTAAGAGCGAGGACACCCTTCCGAGAGAAACCCTTAAACGATGTGTTAAAACAGAGCCTGCGGGTCCCCTAGAGATTTACAGTTTTTAATTAAATAACTGACCATCTGCACCAGTTATTATTATCATTCCACCTACATTTTGATGGCTCAGTTGAGTTGTCTTTGTGGCGTTCCTGCAAACTGCAGGTTTTCTTTAAATTTTTTCAACTATTAAACATGAAGCTGCCAACTCCATGGCGTGGCAAGCTGTCCATTCATGTGGCTGTAGGTTACTGTTGTAGTCGCCAGGTATTTCCTAATGTCATAGATAAGCTGTTTGGACGGTGTCCTTGGTGTGACGCGTCAGAGTCGCTTCCTGATGTGTTCTCTAATTGAGCTGCTGGATTTTTGTTGTTCAACTAAAAAGGAACTTTTGGGAAGAGCTGGTGGGTGGGATTAGTGTGATGGCCATACAGGAAGGCTATTGCGAGGCAGCCCATCTGCAGTGCTGACATTTAACTGCTGCTTTTACCTCCCAGAGATTCATCTTCACTACAATCCTGAGACTTTTTGCTGAGACAAATCATCAGCAGCTGAATTATGATCAGAGTCTGTAAGAGAACCACAGACAGGAAGCTGACTCGCAGAAGAAAGGAATTATCACGATAGAGATAAGATAAATGATTTCTGTGACATCGCAAAACATGGAAACTTTCATTTCAGCAGCCCACATTTGCCTGACAGTTTCAATGATTCTCTTTTATGTTTGATAGTATTAAATTAAATGCAATGATCTCAGGAGTATCTCAGTAAACAAACGGCATTCAATGAAAACTTGATGAAGACTCACCACCTGCAGTTATCAGTGCTACTGATGGGGGGGGGCGCTGTGCTCAGATGAAAGAATCTGACAGTTTTTAAGATGAGCTAAATTATGTTAGCAACTAATCTGCATACTTGCGTTACATTAACATCCACACTCAGTAAAATTAGGCTTTGGTGAAGCTTTGACAGGTGGCTAGCTGTCTGCAATCAAAGAGGCCATGTCCCCAATAATGCAAACAGTTGTTTTCTAAAAACATTCTTCACCTGTACAGTTGTTGTGAAAAGAGAAATTATCTTTAGAGGCTAAACCAGTTTTTCTATCTGGTTGTAAACTTGTTAATTTTAACATAGAGATAGATTCACTGCTGCCTCTGCTGGACGGTAGATGAACTGCAGATTTATGTTATTAAAAAACCCCCCAAAAAACTTTCCTTCAGCTCATGAAGCAGTTGATGTGATAAGTGTCTTTCATAGGTTTGTTTAGTGCAGGGGTCTCAAAGTGGCGGCCCGGGGGCTGCCACTTTGTATTGTTGAATACAAACAAAATGATAGCAGAAGTGCTGCCATGTGTGTGGCCAGAAAGAGAGGACCAATGTGTTTATTTGGTAGTTAAATGAAAGGCTTCAGTTAGTTAAGAGGGAGAAAAAAATTGTGTTGTTATACAGTATTTGAAATAAAAAAACAAACAAAACATTTTCTGAAATATTTGTGGGTTTGTTTCTTGTTTGGTTTTTTGTACTACTTGAACACTAAAGTGGCCCTGCAATGAGATGACAGTGCCAGGATTGGCCCATGGCTCATTTAAGTTTGAGACCCCTGGTTTAGTGGAATATCGATAAAACATCCAGGTGAGAGGCTCCGAACCAGCTGAGGGTGTTTCCTCAGAGTGTCTGCAGTGTGTTGGCAGCCCTTCAGCCTCTAACACACTCAGCCTGATTTATCTGTCGTTCTGGACCACATTTGGACCATTAGTGTAATTCCAGCAGCCGGAGCCAAGCAGACGATCAATATGTGTAATTGAGTGGGGGATAATTAGCCCGTTTCTATTAGCACAACAAGCAGGAATTCTGCTCGGACTTTTCAGTATAAACCTCCTGAGTTTCACTGCTCGGGGATTTTATTTATGATGTAAGAGTGAGGACATCCTTCTGAGAGAAACCCTTAAACTATGTGTTAAAACAGAGCCTGCGGGTCCCCTAGAGATTTACAGTTTTTAATTAAATAACTGAGCATCAGCACCAGTTATTATTATCATTCCACCTACATTTTGATGTTTAACTTTCCCTCAGCTTTGAACCCCCCTTTGCCTTTGTTTTACTGGGAGGACATCTCAGATAAAAACCCTTTCTTTATCATAGACACGTCATTCAAAGTTTAAATGACTAACAGGTGTTACAGGAAGTGTGCTAGACTTTTTAAAACTCATCAGGGACTGTAAGTGATGCCAGTTTTTATGGCTTTTCAAAATAAAATCTCATAAATATCAGAATGACCCTTCAGTAAATGGCAGCAGTCATGCAGAGACTCAGTGGTAGACACACACATTTACTTTGTTTCACCTTGAATCATTGTATCATTGACTTTCATATAAAAGCTCAAAAATATTTAAGCTGCTTTTTAAGGTTTATAAACACTTTCATTTTGAAATCTATGTCTGAGCTTCTTTCAGCTCACCTGCAAGGTGACCTGGCGGTCATTATGTTTTGCTGGTGGAGTTTCTCACCCTGAGCATAGTCTCTTAGGGATTGGTTTTATTGAGGAGCGGCAGCTTAGTTGAAATCAGATGAGCTATCAGCTGCATCTGACCGAGGCACTGACATGCCTGGGGACTGAACCCCCAGGTCAGACTGCAGGTATAAACCTGGTTCAGCAACTGCTTTTATACTTATTGATCTGGTGTTGGAATCGCCTGCTCTGGCTGATCGATAAGCCAGAGCAGTGTTTGAAAGTATTTTGATCACAAACTTTAGAGTATTAAACATTTAGCGTCATGCTAACCTAGGAGCCAATCAAACAGCTTATTCCATATTTTAAATTGGCACATTATGTGTCTGGTGCTCTAGGTCAAAGATGAAGCTGCTGGCTCTCAGGAGTGGAGCTGTAATGTGTGAGGCTGTAGAAGTTTAACCTGCAGGCAAAAGCGTCTTGAACTTTATTTTTGAACATCTGAAGCTGGGGCAGCATGCTGCATGCATCAGAGTTTAAGGAGGTGGACAATGGAAAAGTTGATGGATGGCGGGATGGATGGGTGGGTAGATTTCAGAATTGCTAAGCATAAGATTTGCTCTGGTGGGGAGGGGGCGTGGTGGGCGTGGCTCAACTCCTCATGGGAAACCTTCAGGTGAACAGACTCTGAGTCGTGGTCACACGGCCGTGGTCTTCAGTCTGCTGTAAACTGTTTTCTGAGCAGATAAAACATCTTCAGCAGCTGCTGCAGTCGGACCAGTTTCACATTAACCTTTGAAAGACGCTGCCGCCAGCTGGTCTCACAGCGAGGAGCACGGTGAAGCGGCTGCTAGAGGTGAAGCTGCTACCTGAGTACAGGTAATAAAAAAAGCTGTTTAGAGTGAACAGGTGAGGTCAGCTCGCTTGTTTCTTTCTGTGTGTAAATGAGCCACTTCCTGTTTCGGGGCTCAGGCGTGTCAGTCAGCTCAGATGCTTTGTCGTCTCCCGAGCGATTTGTCATCCTTCAGACTCTTAAACAGATCCTCGAGCTAATCTCAGGGAAATTAATTTTAAAAGTCCCCAGACAGGAAGTTAGAGTGACAGTGAGCTGAGGCGCTGAAGGCGGAGTGAATACAGAGCGGTGAGGTGGAGGTGCAGACGGCTGTTATAGAGGGCTGTTATGGAGGGCTGAAGGTGGAGGCAGATGCAGTAAATCCGCTCCCACGCGCTGCGGTTTGGAGCTTCTGTTGGCGTGAAATGAGTCTGGCAGCGTGTCAGCGTGGCGGCAGATTTACTGATGGAGCACGCCTCGCTCAGAGCCGCTCCTTTTGATTGGCTGCAAGTGAAGGAAGCAGAGGAGATTAAAGGTGCCATTCCAATTCCTGTGTTTGTCCTGACCTGATTGGCTGTTGCAGCTGATGGACGAGTGTTGATGATAGGTTGATGAGTTGCAGTGGGACAGTTTCTCAGAGGACCCGTGGTCACCGTGGTTTCAGATGGCACTTTAAACTTGTTCTCTCACTCTCTCTCACGCACACACACAGTGTCCTTGTCTCAATCAGCAGCCAGAGGAATCTTCAATAGGTGGAGGAGAGCCACCATGGACCTTGTTATTTAACCTTTGACCGCTGAATGTTTTGACCTCAGTTGTTTTTGCCAGTGATGATGATTGGATTATTTAACTGCTTCACGGCGGGCCCTGACTGGACATTGGTCTGGAATATTCCATGATTTTCATTCATCTGTGCAGATCTTTATGGCGCTAGACGCCAACTTGCTGCTGCTAGAACCACCCGTTTGGAATAAAGCGCCACATTTCAGAGACATTTACGACTGACAGAACACGCTCGGGTTATTCACACGCAGATCCTCCTGTTTCCATTCTTCCCACAAAAACACCTGAACGTGTTTGTGCAGACCGCAGCTGTCTGAGGGACTGACACAGCGATCGCGGCAAAATTAGCCGAGGTCTGAAAACTTGAGGTCAGACATGCCTGACAGAGAACCTGTCACAGGTAGCGTTCATCAGGACCAAACACATCAGTGGTGTGATTTACCTGGTGCTAATCCGAATCGTGATGAATTTCGGGATCTTAATAATCCCGTCTGCTTCATGAGTCTCATTGATAAATGATCATGTAGGTCATGTGGCCTGGCAGCTTTTAGGAACAAAGTGAGCTTGCCCCTGCTGCAGAGCGCAGAAGCAGTCATGTGTTATTGAGGTGATCGCCATCTGTTGATGTCCATCAGCTCCTCCTAATGTGACTTGAGTGCAGCAGCTTGAATATTTTACTGATGAACCAGAAGAACTTTAATATTTCACACGAGTTTCTCTGAATGTCCTTCACAAACTCAGACACTTTGCTCTATTTTCAGTTTTTAATACTCTTCATTTGTAGAACACCAAATCAAAGGCACCTGTGATGGAAACGTCAAGTGACAGTGGACAGCTTCTTCTCCTCCTCCTCCTTTCTCATGCTCCCTTCAGGGAGGGATGATCTGCCTCCATCTTCCCTCTCCAGCATCCTCTTCTGTCACACGGGCCAAGGCCTTTGTGACAGAAGAGGTTTGTTTGGGTGTGATCAAAAACTGATGGTCGTCAGTACGTATTGGTTATGGGTCAACACATGTTGATATTGTGTTAGTCCTAGAGGAGCTGACATACAGTATGCAATCAGGTGGTGGAGGTGAAGTCCTGGTCTGTCAATGAGGCTGTGTGTAAAAGTTTAAGCTAACTTCAGGCAGGCACATCTGATGAGGTTGATGTAATAAATGTTTGATGGTCAGATGGTAAGGTCAGGCCCACTCGTCTCTTCTTGTTCTGTTCTGGTGCTCGAGAGAGGTTCTGTCAGTGTGCCGAATGAGGAAACACTGCAGGACAATTAAGGTTTTATCAGCCGAAGGAGCTGCTGAGGGCAGACCAACGAACATCAGTAGATAAGAACTGAGCACGTGCAGGAAACCAACAGTGCGTTTTTGTTTATGTTGAAGCATAGTACGTATTACTCCGCGAGTTTCCTGCGAGTTTATGTGAATGTATTTAAGGTAGATACACATAATTAGCTCCAGGTGTTGTTATTCGGAAGGAGCAAACAGATTGTGACGCTGTTATGATAAATGATGTTGGATAAAGAGAACTGTGGAACAACAAATACAACTGCTGGAAGTGGAATAACAGCGGCATCGCGTCACTCCCGCCAACGAAAACCTCAATGGCTTCAAGTGTAGGCTTGGCCTCTGCAGACGTGTAATAGAACCAACGCACCAAAAAATGTTAAAGGTTACAAAACAAGTAAGCAAAAAACCCTAATTTTGTTTCACCTAAGTGGCTTTTTAATCTGCAGCCTGTCATCATTTGCATGTTTCAGGTCGGTACAGTTTCAGCCTGGTTACATGACATCACTGACTTGCTTCCTGTTTCATCTAAGAGACTGATATGTTCTTGAAAGCCAAGATGACAGGAAGTGATGTAAACATGGGCTTCAATGTTATTCAAAAACAAACAGCTTTATTTAAACAACACCGTGGAGCTATCACGAAAGAAGAAGAAACAGTTTTGACCTTCAGGAGCTCCCTACATCGTCTTTATCACCCCAGCGGGGCGGAGCCTATCCCAGCTGCCATGGGGCAAGAGGCGACATTCACCCTGGACATGTCGCCATTTACACCCGTGACTCACCGAGGAAACTCACGTGCACTCATCACCTTAGGGGTCATTGTCATTCAGCTAATGTCTCTGGTCAGTTGGCCCCTGATTGGCCGGTTCCTGTTCATACCTATGACCTAATGGTTAATGAGCTGATGATGTCATGAGCGATGTGGGGTTAGCAGAGGATCATGCGTGTCGTGGAATTTACACAGGAAGCAAAATTTCTTCTGTAGTGATTATGTCTCTCCATCCACAAACGACACTTCCTGAGCACCGCGACATCACTTCCTGTTTGTGTGTTTAGGGCCAGTGACAAACGCCATCATCACGCCAGCTCCCGCTAACATGTTCCTGCCTGACAGTCGGCCCGCCGTCCCTCTGCCACGCTTCAGCCGACACCTGCATGCCTCCGAGAGCGACGGCGGTGAGCCGGGGGAGGTGTGTGTCCGCCTCAGGCTCCACACACAGGTGAGTGCTGCCGTTCTTCCTTGTGTCTTCCATAATTGAGCTTCCTGTTTACGGAAGTAAAAACCAAATGAATGTCTGAGCAGTTTATTTTCATAGATGGGAGCCACAACAACAAGAAATTCTGACATGACAGGGTAGAAATGAAAACACACACACACACGGGTGAACGAAGGAGCTGTGCAGGTGAAGGCTGAACGTAAAGATGGAAAGTTCAAACACAATTTGAGGAAACGTTTAAATAAAACATGAAGCTGCAGCTCAAACACATCGATCCCTCTGAAGGAGGAAGGTGACATAGACACGCACAAATGCATACACAATGAGAGGGAAACTTTCATAAGCAGCCTCAGAGCAGTTTATGCTAATGAGGCTGAGACACACACACACACACACTCTCTGCTGTAATGACGATGGGTTTGAAAAATGCGTGTGTTTGCTCAGTGGGTAAGCAATAATATCAATATTTACAGCTTTGATTGCCTGACAGGTCAGAGTGCTCTGTCACCAGCTTGCCTGCTAACATCGTCAGTCCTGTTTGGAGTGTTTAACATCGTTTAATTGATCAGCTCTCAAGACATAAAATTTTTAGATGTCTTCATCATTATCACCAGATTCACACAGCAGTGCTACATTTTATTGCTAAATTATTTTTGTAATTATGGTGGAAGATTTCAGTTTTATTTTGAAGTGACAATCTGCACATCTCACTTAAAGCTGATACATCACAGGTTTTACTTTGAAGAGGTCTTCCCGTTTGTTTACAGGAGGAGGAGGAAACGTACCTGCAGAAAGCCGACACGCTGAACTCGCTGATGAACGCCGTGACTGACAAGGTGAGAGGGGGCGAGGTTTCGTCGAGTGTTGGTTTGCATCCTCTGACAATCTCACAGTTTAACTGGCCAAGGGTCAGAGACAAACTGACTTTGAGCCTGACATTCCTGTCAGTCTTATTGATTATTGATAGCAATGGTGGTCGGAGATGGTGTGAAGAAGGCAGCTCTATTGGTCAGCCCTGTGTGTGTCTGGAGCGTGGGGTCAAAGTTCAGACTCTGAGACTGCTTCAGTTCAATTGAGTTTTATTTATACAGCGCCAAATCACAACAACACTCACCTCAAGGTAGTGGTCGGCGATATGAGGAGAATCTTATTTGCACGATATATATCATGATATGTTTAAATAACCTACAAAAACAAATGTTCTTATCAACCATATAGTGCCTAACACTGCATCAGTACACTCATTCAAATCGACAATTCAGTGGTTTCATATTTTCATTCATATTTTTTGTATTAAAATGTTTTATTTAACTATGTTTTTTAACAATCCGTTATACACAGAGGTTTTTAACAGATGACAATCCTGTGACAGTTAAGTTTCTTTCGGTGGTCAACACTAGACCTTTTAACAAACAAACGCAAGATCACAGCAACAAAAACATCAAACAAGAATTCACGAGTAAAAATAAAACAAACTTTTGTGCTTATAACATTTAAAATTTGTAAAATAAAAAATATAATGATCAACAGAAACAAAAGTCTAGACAGTCAGTATAAAAACGACTGACCAAGAGCAATTACAGGTATCAAAGCTGGTTTTCTTTGTGTGTGCACAGTTTAAAACGGTCTTCATTTTGGACTACACTGGGTTTTGTAGTGTTTTTCATGCTGATTTCAAATCTGTGTTTAGTTTTTCCCTAGCACGTACAGTTTTTGTGATAATGCTAGTTATATATTGCATAATAGTTGGTATAATTAGCCTAAGCATGTAACCAGATTTAACGCCAGTTCCCTGTGTTTTATGTTACATACGGCATTAATTGCAATTGATTTCAGTTGTTACCGTGCCTAGATTGTATTAATCATCCAGACAGTTGCTCTTATGTGTGTGGTTCATTCAAGACAAAAGCATGTCTCCCGATTACTATAGACCTTAAGAAGATGTACAAATTGTACTTTGGCTGCCCTCTGGGTGACCAGGATAAATCTTGGGCTCAGCATGTCATCTGCAACAGTTGTTCCAATGGACTGCAGCACTGGCTAAATCTGTGAAAGTCAGCAATGCCATTTGCAATCCCGATGGTGTGGCAGGAACCACGAGATCATCTCAACAATTGCTATTTTTGCCGCGTGAATACAACAGCAATTTTCATTCAAAGATAAGCACAAAGTTGTCTACACCAGCCTGGATTCTGCAATAAGGCCTGTTCCTGTGCTGCCGCTTCTGTAGAAGGTGACGCGGAAACGGTCGAGGTGCCTCTGGTTACAATCTAGAGCCATCAGATCTGTTCTGGCTGATGAAGATTCAGAACCAGAGACTTTTAAACAAGCAGAGCTAAACTATCTCGTTCGTGATCTAAATCTATCGAAAGACAAAGCAGAACTTCTTGCTTCGAAGCTTAAGCAGAAGCATTTGTTTGCCAAGGGTGTTACTGTAACTCACTACAATCATAGTTGAAGTCATAACTTGACAGCGTTCTTCACAACTGACGGCTCAATGTGCCATTGTCATGACATCAACAGACTCTTCAGCATGTTCCAACTAAATGGTGTCTTTTCATTCTTTACAAAAATGCTCGAAGGCACTCCTACTCCATAACGGAAATGCCAAACCAAGTGTGCCGATTGCCCATTCTGTTCATCTAAGGGAGTCCTATGACAACATGAAGACACTGCTTGAATCATTTGGGTATAAAACTCATTAGTGGAACATCATCGGTGGTGATCTGAAGGTGATTGGTATGTTGACGGGAATGCGAGGAGGATTCACCAAATACTGCTGTTTCCTGTGCCCGTGGGACAGCCGATCTACTGTGGAACATTATGTCAAGGGTGACTGGCAGCCACGAGATGCCTATGAGCCAGGAAAAAGCAGTATCGAGTTTCTGCCTCTGGTTGAGCCGCGTGAAATATTTTTGCCGCTTCTCCATATCAAGCTAGGCTTGATGAAGAATCATGTTGAGGCCATAGGCAAAGGGAATGCATGCAGTTTTCAGTACCCCACTGAAAGGTTTCCAAACATAAGCGGTGTAAAAATGAATGAAGGTTTATTTATAGGTCCACAGATCAAGTTCATTTTGCAGAATGAAGGCTTCAAACAATCTCTCTCAACAGCCGAGTTCAAAGCTTGGGAGGAATTGAAGTGGCTCTGCAAAAGCTTTCTGGGCATCCACAAGTTTTCTGCATACATGGAAGGAGTTCAGCTTCTGCTTGATTCCTACCAGAAACTGGGCTGTCGCATGTCATTGAAAATAAATACACTTCCTGCACTCAGGCCTCGAGTTCTTTCCAGAAAATCTTGGCATGGTGAGTGATGAACAGGGAGAGCATTTTCATCAGGACATGCAGTTAATGGAGCGTCGCTACTAAGGTTTCTAGAATGAGAGCATGATGGCCGACTACTGCTGGACGCTGTACCCTGACAATCCAGACACAGTGTGCACAAGAAAATCATATGCTAAGGATTTTTTGAAGAAACAGTGGTAGCTGACTGCCACTGATCATCATATCTATGCCACAGTGCGTGCCTGACTGAAAATATTGAAACAGTTGCTTGATTGGTGCCTGTTTAATAAAAACTGTGTGAAGGTCCATTGCAAACTAATATTACTCATAATTCAAAATTATCTGGCTGATGTAACTGAAAAAAATTTGAAAGCAGACCTGAAATCAGCATGAAAAAACAGTTTAGAAAAGTGTTTTGTGGTTTCTGATGATTGCAAAAAAAAAAAAAGAAATAAAATTGTTGACCTATGTAGTTTTACGGCATGTTTTTGCAAATTACTGCATTTTGTGCAGCATTGTCCTTGTGAAATCCAAATGACAGCGAGTCTGAAACTCCAGCTGTCGCTATATTTTTCCCTGTCTGGTAGTATATTAATGCGCATGCTCAGCCCAGTGTGGCAGGTAGAAAATTTTGGGGTGGGGTGGGGGTTAATGATGCATTGGCAGCGTGTGTGAGGAAAAAAATCTCAGTGAATTATATGCAGACAGCTTAATATTGCCGTGGCAATTTATACTCAATGGTTACAATAAAGCCGCTTTAACTGTTGTATGTGGAAAAACTTGATATATTGCACACCCCTACCTCATGGTGCTTTATATTGTAATGTAAAGACCCTACTATAATTTAAAGAAAACAGAATACCCCACCAATCATATTGACCCCCTATGAGCAAGTGCTTTGGTGACAGTGGGAAGGAAAAACTCTGTTTTAAGGAGAAGGAACCTCCAGCAGAACCAGGCTCAAGCTGGCGTGGACATCTGCTGCAACCGGTTGAGGGGAGGGGAGGAGACAGGACAAAGACACACTGTGGAAGAGAGCCAGAGATTAATTATAACTAATGGTTTAATGCAGAGAGGTGTATAAACACCTGATTCAGCCCTAACTATATGCTTTAGGAAAAAGAAAAGTTTGAAGCCTAATCCTATAAGTAGAGATAGTGTCTCTCTCCTGAATCCAAACTGGAAGCTGGTTCCATAGAAGAAGGGCTTGAAAACTAAAGGCTCTGCTTCCCAGTCTACTTTTAAATACTCTAGGAACAGCAAGTAATATGGAGATCAATTAAGGTCCAGCTCAACCCAGCCAATCAGATAACAGTATTTACTGTTTGCTGGGTAAATATTTTCCCACCTTAGTCCATCATAGGATGATCAGAAATCATGTTTCTTACCTGTTGGCTGGTGTCTGTGGCATCCCTGGAAGAAGTCGTGGTCATCTTTAACCAAAATGCTAATTTTTAGCTTGTAACCAACGTGACACAGCAGCTGTCAATCATTAGCACTTTGAAGCTTCGTTATGAGCGTGTCTGCTGCCAACGTCATCGTGTTTTCAACCCAAATGTGGTGATTAATGGGGGGTTCTGACTGTGACAGACTGGTTCACAACCTGTCAATTACAAGTCGTCAGCCAACGAGTGTACAGCAAAAACCCTCCATTTTGAAAGAGTTACAAATTAAACTTGATTGAAACTTGATGTCAGGACTGAGTCTTTTTAGAACCACAACTTTCACCCCCTAGTGAGTGGCCGCTAGAAAGAAAGCATGTTGAAGTTACAGTTACTGTTGGTACTGTTGATGATCATAATAGGGGCAAACACCTCCTAGCGGCAGGATCATCTGGTGCAGAACCAGTCATGTATTGTATTTAAAGGGACGGGAAAAAAGTGATTTTGGTGAGCTCGTTGAGCAGAGGACGATGTTTGGAGACAGATGACAGAGATTGTTTTTTTTTTTTCTGTGATGTGTAATTGCTTGTTTGTGTTTGTGTTTTCAGTCGGTGTTTGGTGATTGCGAGAACACGAAGGTTAGAATCGCTGAGCTCGAAGAAGAAGTTCAGACTCTGAAAAAAATGAACAAAGATTTGTACGACTTCTCCAGCCAGCTGCTCACCAAACCAACATAAGTGCACTCACACACACAAACACACACTGTGATGGGTTTTTTGTTTATTTGTTTTTCTACAAAATAAAAGTTTTTGGAAAACTTCCTGTGTGTGAGCCTATTATTCCTTCTGGGTGATTTTGGGTCACGTGCCGAGACCAATTCAGGTTACTTCCAGACTTTGAACCATTAAAATGTTGTTTAACAGTCATTGACATGGGTGGATCTGTCTGTGAACACGAAATGTAATCAGATTACCTTTAGATCACACTTGTTACTTTCAGCAGCTGCTTCGTTAAACTCGTCTGGTTTAGAAAGTCATTTCAGCTATCCATTTTTACTGAGATATTCACACTAAGATCCAACATTTGTCCATCATAGTGACCAATAATCATTCACTGATCAGCCTGATAAATGACTGATCACAGGGATGTAAATGGGGAATCTGCAGTAAATGTAATCAGATTACATTTCCAGAGCTCTCTGTTACAAAGATGGAGAGTCAGGTTTAAGAAACTCAGAGTTTTAGCTGATCCAGCTTCCTGGATCAGGGTCCAGGTTCTGAAAACCAGAGAAGAATTAAATTTCAGGTTCCACTTTGTCCACATCTGTACAAAGGTGTGCAGCAGCTTTTCCAGGTGAATTACTTTGTACACACATCAACACAGAAAAACACAATCGTCCAGACAAGGAAACCCCAGAAAGTAAATGTTTTTGTGTTTTCAGTAGGAGACAGGCGTGTTTTCCTTCCTGTAATCAGGTGTTTGAAGATGTGACACAGTTTAACTTGTTTTATAATCTCATGTTTTTACTACTCTCTTTTTTAAAGTGAAGATTTAAATATCAACAAACTGTATTCAAACATTTCATTTGTGTTCATAGTTAAACTGGCACGCTGCATTTGAGCCTTTCAACCTTTATTTAAACCAGCAGTGACAGGTGTTCACATAAAAAGAGCCCAGATGTCATAATATAAATATAAACTAACATGAGGGGAAAAAACACATTATAAAAATTGAAAACTGGATTAAAGTCGGAGATTAAAGGTCATGTGAAGGTGGAAGAAAACTGTCAGTTCAAACAGGAAAACCACAAAAACCTTTTTTTTTTTACATGTTGTCTTTGCTCAAACTACAATCCAGAGCCCGATAAGGGATTCATTTATTTAAACAAGTCCAAGGACAAAGAAAACCCCAGTATCAGTTTTACTGGTCACATGACCGGTATAAAAGATATTTGGAGAGAGGCTGAGCTGAACATCTCTGTTAAAGACTGTGAGAATTAGTGGATTACATCAGCAAGGGTGCCAAACATAAGGCCCGGAGGACAGAATCAGCCCGGCAAAGACTCCAGTCCACTGGACAGCTTGAAGGAGGCATACAATTAGTACTTCCCATACGTTTACAGCTTTTTCTGCTGATGGAGAGGTCCCTCGTGCCCTTTCATACTAGGCTAAATTAATCAATTAATAGGTAAATGTTTAGAGGACTTTAATAGTGTTTTAGTTGTCAGTGTCACATTCAGCAGAAATGTCCACAGCAGGGTACCATAACCTGAAATCCCTGCATGTAGCATTTTTAATGCTGCTATCTGACCACAATATTAATAATGTTGTTAATTGTACGAGCAGACTCTCCAAGACGTCTGAGCTCCAGTTTAGGTGCACAGTGAAATTCAAGGATTTTGACTGGATGCTGCTGAGCAGTGAGTCTGTTTGAAAGTAGCTCACATTAGCTAATAAATCCACCGTCTCTTCCAAATATGGCCATTTTGCAAATTAAAATTTTTTTTATTTATTTATTTATTTTTCATTTATTTGACAGGTATAATGATGTGATGTTCCTGTGTGTAAACACTGCAGTAGAAGGAGGATGAAGACATTTAATCTGAGAGTTGTGAGACCTTGCCTCACCCTATCATGTGACCTATTAAGATCAACTGACACAATATGTGAGTGGGTGTTAACGTGCCTGGGAAGGATCTCAAAACTGGATTGTATATGGCTGACAGTTGGTGTCATAAGCCCCGCCCTCTGTTCAAAGATGGTTGTTGACAGTGGATATAGATAGCTTCTTTTTTTAGGGCTGGGTTTTAAAAAAAATCAATTTTCCGATTCAAATCTATTTTAGCTTAAATAACGCGATATCAATTCATTGAATCCTGAATCAATTTTTTTATATAAATTTATTTTTGCCATAAACACCAGAATCTACGGTGAAAGCTTACAAAGATGTAAACACAAAGTGCGGATCGTTCACCCAACGGCACGTACGCAGACATCTCATAGATGCCACTCTGACCAAAATTCACCGAACCAGCAGCAAAAGAAGATCAAAACTACCCTTCACGTTTGATAAACATCGTCATTAATTAATTCCCTCTTACCTTGGCTGTTTTGCTTCCACCACAATAAAATCACAGTTCCTGTACAGCTCTCTCTCTCTCTCAGTGTACTCAGAGACCAGTTTACCATCAAAAATCTCAGTTTTCTGCATTATTCACTGCTTAATTACGCACCAGTCTACTGTTGTGTTCAGTGCTGTCAACTTCTGACATAAAAGCCTCAGAAATTGAACCTTTTACAAGTGATTGCTTAGCTGTGCCTCTAATAAAACCTCTGTAACTTTGCTCTGCTTCACTTCAGCAGCAGGTAAGGTAATTTCCATATGTTGATTCATATTTTCTTCAGTTTTTGATCTACTGCAGAATATTTTTAGGGTGGTTCTCTGCTATAAAATGCCAGGCCAGGAAAATATCCTTCATGTTTTTCTGTTTCTCAGTTATCCTCAGTTACTTTGACACAAATACATCTGCTGTGATGCTCACACCTCTGACAAAGTCTTACAAGTGTCAGCTTTGTTTTTATACATAGATACATAATATATGGATATGTACTGATAAATGATCAGAATTATAATATTTCTACTGTCTGGGTCAAAATTGAATTGAATCTGGACCTTGTGAATCGGAACAGAACCGATTATAGAAATCAGTGATGATACCCAGCCCTACTTCTTTCACTCCTCTTTCATACTTCTCTGTCCTTTGTCTGCCACCTACACATGGTTTCACCCAAAACTTCCACTGATAATGAGCCACACCCTTTTTTACACCTTGGCTCATGCGATGAAGCACATAATCAATAGTGGGTCAACGATCCTCCCACTAGGGCTTAAAATCTGAGACTCTCCACCATTTGATTTTAGAACTGAACAAGCTTCCGAATGAAATGTCTTCAAGAAACTTAAAAAAGTCCAGACACTTTTATTTTCAAGCTTCTTAGACTATGTCCTGGATGACTGAAACCCTTCAAAGACACTGCATTAGAAGCTGTTCCTCCTCCTCCTGCATTAGGGGCATATCCTCACACATCTGGCTGAACATGTTGACCTGTCTCAGTTACAGATGTTTGAGAGTTTTCTTGCATGTTTTCCTATTTCAGATCTCTCCACAGCATCTAATCCAGACTCAGATCTTCTTTCTGTGCCGGTCATTGGTGGATTTGTTTCCTGTTTCACCATCCAATCAGTCAGATGTCCTCAGCCTGTAAAGAAGAACATTAGTGATTGAAATCTATCCAGCATCCAGTTGTTGGGGTTTGAGAGGTCTTTGGATGTTCGCATGATGGCACCTAGCACTTTAACTGCAAAGGGATCTGAGTGTCAGCAGTTCTATCAAACCAAACTGGTCTTTGGCACCTGATCAGGAACACTTGAAGCTAAAATGAAGGGTGATACATTTAGCAACTTTTACTTTGTTCCATACATGAAATACATAAATGCAATCAATTATATTAGAAACCTGATCAGTGATTATAATGTTTTTGTCATGCTGTTTAACATTTCACTTTGATTAATAAAAATTAGCCCAGCATGTTGGTGAAGATGATCAATGTTCTTCAGTTTTTACTGGAAATGTCAGATTCAAGCCAATCCAACTTTATTTATAAAGCACTTTAAAATAGCCAGTACAGAACCAAAGTGCTGTACATTAAATAAGTTAAGAACAATAGATAAAATGAAACAGCAACAAAAATAAAACACATAATACATACAAATTAAATTTAAAACAGTCCTATATTAAAAAAAACCCACATAAAACAACATAGAATCAACTAAAAATAAATAAATAAAATAAAAACAAAAAGCAACATCTCACAGGGTGTCAAAGGCCAGGGTGAAGAGATGGGTTTTCAGAAGTGATTTAAAAACAGGCAGAGAAGAGGCCTGCCTCATCTCTAAAGCTCCACAGTTTGGGAGCAGCTAAAGTTTACGCTCAGTCCTGGGTACATTCAGCTGATCAGCTGACCTGAGAGAGCGGGTGGGTGTATAAGGCTGTAGCAGCTCAGAGAGATAAGATGGGGCTAGGCCATGGAGGGCTTTAAAAGCAAATAAAAGAATTTAAAATCTAAAAAGGAATGGGCAGCCAGTGAAGTGAAGCTAAACTAGGGGGAATGTGTTCAAACTTTCAAGTGGCAGTTAAAAGACAGGCTGCAGCATTTTGCACCCTCTGTAGATGAGCAATGTATGAAGCACTGACCCCAATATAATGTGCATAACAGTAATTAAGCCGAGTGCTAACAAAGGCGTGGATAACTGTCTCAAAGTGCTGCCTTGAAAGATTTGGCTTTATTTTTGCCAACTGCCTGAGCTGAAAGAAGCTTGATTCTATGACGGCCTTAATCTGGCTGTCAAGCTTCAGTTCAGAGTCCACTTTGACCCCCAGGTTTGTGACAGCTGGGCCAAGGAATCTAAATACAGATTTGGGGTCTCAGTAGGGCTACCAAAAATCATCACCTCAGGCTTTTTGTCATTGAATTTTAAACAGTTAAGAGACATCCAAGCCTTAATGTCATCCAGACATTGAAGTAATGGCTGTACAGAAATGTGCCTTATTTCTTTAAACGGACATAGATCTGACAGTCATCAGCATAAAAGTGAAATGCATTACCTTGTTTTCTCAGTATAAAACCAAGAGGGAGCACATACAAAGAAATGAGGAGGGGGCCTAGAACTGAGCCCTGTGGGACACCACACAAGAGAGGAACAGAGGACGACAGATGGTCGCAGAGACTGACACAAAAAGTTTGTTCTGCCAAGCAGGACCTAAACCACTCCAGTGCTGTGCCCCTAATGCCCACCCACTGCTCCAAACGAGATAGTAAAATGACATGATCCAGTGTCTCAAACGCAGCTGTCAAATCTAAAAGCACAAGAACAACATAGTCGTCAGTAGCTAATAATATGTAATTAAAACCTTTTAAAGGGCTGATTCAGTGCTATGTAAGGATTTCAAACCAGACTGGAAAACCTCTAAAACATTTTGCTTTTCCATAAAGGTCATTAATTGACTCTGACATCACTGAAGTCTGCATAATTATTTCAGTTTAACTTTCACATTTGAAGCATTTTGATTGGAATGGATTGCCAAACATCAGAATCAGTAACACATATCAACCTATGTGACATCATTCACTGAAGAAGACTTCTGTAAGCTGTACTCTTCATCTTGATCAGTCTGCAGACAGATGTGATCACAAAAAACGTCCTAAATCTCCACATTAGCGCCTTCTCTGCTACGCTGTTTTCTTTAAATGTCACCAAACACTTTAACATTCTGCCCAAAGCTTCGACTGCACAGGAGCATCAAACCCAGGAGCAGGAGGAGACATGCTGGGTCAGTGCAGATTTGCCTGCAGTCAGGTGACTCCACAGGAAAAGTAAGCTCACAGACTGAAAGGTCTGAAAATGCCACGGATGCTTTATCAAGAAACGAAACAGAAAGTTCAGCCGGAAATGTCCTCCTCTTCTTAAGCTCCTCTTCCTCAGCACCACACAGACATATCACGTTTCAGCTTTCTGAAAGCTGCTACTGATGCTTCCAGTCACCTCTGATCTTCTCTGCAGCTGTGACGCTGTCAGAGTTCAGCCTCCATCAGCTGATTGCAACTGATTAACATCTGATTCATGTGTCGATCCTGCCCCGAGTCTCGCCTCTCATGCTGCATGCAGTCTAAACATCTGCAGAAAGAACTCAGGTCTAAATCGGTCTAAAGTTAAAATGCCACTCAAGGAGTCGGGTTCAGCGTCAAAGTGATTAAGATGAAGCATCTTCACTGTTTGCTATGATGAAACCATCAGATGACACCATCAGTTTAACACCTTGAGTCAGCTGAGAGCGGGTGAACCTGATGATTGACCTCTTCTTAAATTTAGTTCATTTTATTTATAGAACTTCACTTCAAAAAACACTCATTATATTCTGTAAGGTAAAGCACAATATCTGGGAGAGACACCTAAGCAATCAGACAACACTCGTGAGCAGCTGCTACCCTTGGGAAAGAAAAATTCCCCTTTAACAGGAAAAAACCTCCAACAGAACCAGGATCAGGGAGAAACAGCAAGGAGAAGAAGGACAGAGAGACCACAGAGAGCGGGCCGAGTACAATAACATGCTTTATATAAATTTAGAAGCAGGAAATTGCAGGTCATCCAGCTTTTTATGTCTGTAAGACAGGGGTCTCAAACTGGTGGCCCGCGGGCCACTTCCCGCCCACGTCACATTACTTACAGACCTTATATTGATGTGAAAATATATAATGCAGTTTGGCCCTTGAAGTGACTTTTTTTTGTTAGGGGGGATTTGTTTGTTGTTGAGTGCAATGTTAAAGTAATTCTTTAAAAAGCAAAAACTTATTTAATATGAAGGCAATAAGAGCAGAGAGTACAAACATGCTGAGGGATTGGCTGTGTTAGTTCAGTGAGAGAGAGAGTCAAAAACGAATATGTACACTTATGTCTGCCTTTTTATTTGGTTAAATACGAACAAAATGATAGCAGAAGTGCTGCCACGTGTCCGGCCAGAAAGAGAGAACCAATTTCGTTATTTGGCAGTTCAATGAAAGGCTTCAGTTAGTTAAGAGGTTTATCTTGTTATACAATATTTGAAATTTAAAAAACAAAACAAAAAACAACTACATTTTAGGAAACATTTGTGGGTCTTTTCTTGTTTGGTTGGGGTTTTTTGTACTACTTGAACACTAAAGTGGCCCTCCAGTGAGACGACAGTGCCAGCAGTGGCCCACGGCTCATTTAAGTTTGAGACCCCCGCTCTAACTTATTGGTGTGTGTTATCTGGCTTCATGGATAGATAAAGTTGGGTGTCATTTGCATAGCAGTGAAAATGTATGCTATGCTTTCTAACCATACTGCGTAAGGGAAACATGTATAATGTAAAAACTAAACGAAACCAACCCCACTAACTGCATGTCTTTGGACAGTTGGGAGAAAGCTGGAGTACCCGGAGAGAACCTATGCAAACACGGGGAGAACATACAAACTCCACACAGAAAAGGCAAAGTGAATTCAGCTAGCATGGCGGACACTCCCTGCACCACCATGCCCTGGCACGCGCAGCAGAACAGCAACTCCAGGTCTGTGGTGGGCAGCTGCCAGGTTCTGCTCCAGCTAAACTAAAGTAAGTAAAAATTGAAACAAACCAAAGACTGTAATCCTGTCCATCTGTCGACCTCTTGTTTTTCTCTAAATGGAGCAGCTATGATGTTCTTTAAATGTTTTGTTTTCCAGTTGAAATCTGTGAAACAGCTCAAAATGGAGCTTCATCTACTGTCTATCAAAACCATGAGGAACTTTTCCAGGTATTTTTCTGAAAATTGGCCTGAAGTCTGGATCTTGAATAGAAATATTTAACATTAACAGTAAGGAGGTTGTTATTCCTTCACCTTCTCCCAAAGAAGCAATCAGGAGCTGAACAGGGAACATATGAACCAATTATCTTGCTGCACACTATTAAAGAACAAAAGAGACCGGGAGGAGAGAAAGTGACCATCTAATGTTCAGGTGACAAACTAATGGAGATGTGAACTTTGAGGAGGTGGTGAGGAACTTTGAACTTTGATTGAAGCAAGACCCAACAAGAGTGAATAATACTGCTGATTGACATATGTGGTGTGATAAATACATTAGAGGATAACCTAAGAAACCAGAGCCTGAAACTGGACCAGCTGTCATATCAGCCAAGAGAAGCGCTGATTTTCAGATGCCTGTACGGAGCGACGCTGGGACTAGATGGTTCTGCTTGTGATGGACTGAATGTCTGGGACCTAACCTGGTCTCTGTGGGCGACGACCCTTGGCCCCTAAACATCTGTTCAGAGGAAAGACGAGTTTCAGCTAAACAAACTGTAACTAGCAGCAGTTAGTATTTTTAGGTATTTACAGGCGATCTTTTGGTTTCTTCGGTTATGAATTAAGGTGTGTTTGTGTTCATTTAGAAATGAGGAGTTCCTCCTAAAAAGGACCATTGTGTGAGGCCCTGGAACACCACAGACCGAAAAAGTTGGAGAGGCCGCCTGCCGCCCGTGGTCATTGGTTGAGAGTTGAGACCTGAGGAGAAAGCTCACAGAAGCAGTACATCTTATGTTCAAGTCTCTGTCTGAGTGGTTGCTGCTCCTTCTTTAAGCAGCAAGTCAGGTGGGGTGTCTCTGCATGTCGCTGACTTCACTGCTTGACCGCACACACCTGTTTGACCTCACACACCTGCTAGATCACACATACCTGTCAGAACTCACACAACTGTAATTAATGTGGAACTATTGTCTCTGTTTTTGGCTGCTCACCTGGTTTGGTGCACTCACATACACCTACCTGTTTGGAAAAGTGTACATCTACAGGTGGTAAGTCAGCTGTTTATAGTAACCAGTCAGTGAGCTGATTGAAGTTGCTGTGAGCAGTGATGCTCACCCTTCCTGTCTTTTTTTTCCCTGGCACCTGTCAGCTCATCATTTTTCAGATTTAATGTTTCACAATAAATAAATTAGAATTTTGTTCTACTTTGATAGATTTTTTGTCTATGTTTCCAGTTATCAGTTAGTTTTTCCCTCGCTGGGCATCGCCCTGCCTTCCTCTTCCTTCTCACTCAGTAATGAAAATGATTTCATTTGTTTTCAGGAGAGTACAGATAAAAGCTGATTGGAGGTTTTCATTAAAAACACGCAGAGCTCCAAATGCTCAGGAAAAAAATGATTTCAGGTCAGTTTTTATTTCCTGATTGTTGCTCCACTTTCTCGCACAGATTTCAAATGGAATATTAACACTGTGTGTGTGTGTGTGTGTGTGTGTGTTATGTAACGGCCCAGCTCTCAGCTGTAATGTTCGGAGGATGACGAATCGAGCTGGATTCTCCTCAGAAAGCCTCGGCAGCAGCTTCCTGTTCCCGACCTTATCGTCCTTCAAAACTTCAATAAAACATCTGCAGCAGCTGCTTCTGCTCCTCCAGATGCCCAATAATAAATACCGATGAATACACCTGTGATTAATACAAACAGGAGAAGGAGGGAGGCTTTATGGATCTCTGATAAAAACAGGAAAATTGTGATCAGGAGCCTCTTTTATTGTGAAGGTCAGAGAAGATTATCATCAAAGCCACCAACAAACAAAAAAAGAATTAAAATGATCCTCAATGGAGACAACTGAATAAAATTAAGTAAATAAAACAAGTTGGTAAAATAAATAAATAAACAAACTGAATCTGCTCCTCTTCTCTCCACTCACCACCTCCTCTGTCTCTTTGACCTCCCCCTTTTCATTTCTTCCTCTGCTTCTCCTCTCCCTCCCTCCCTCCCTCTCTCTCTTCTCCTCTGCACCTCCTGTTTCTGGGACAGCGCTCCCCCCTCCCCTCCGCTCCTTAGTCTGCTCCTCCCTCAGTCTCCTGTGAGCAGCAGGAGGAGCAGCAGCCTCCTCTCGTGTTTGTCGGAGAAGCAGGAGTCAGCGGAGGAGCGATGCTGAGCGCGCGGCAGGATGTCTCTCACCTCCTCCTCCTCCTCCTCCTGCCTCCGGTCTCTCCGAGCCTTCCTCCTCCTGCAGCTCCTCCTCGTACCGCCGTGCCTCCTCCACCCGCAGCCGTGCCGCCTCCTGGCGCAGATCGGTCACTCCGTGCGCGTCGGTGCGCTCCTGCCGGCGCAGCGGGCGGCGCGCGTACAGGTCCAGGCGGCGCTGAGCCGCGCGGCGGCCGCGGTGAGCCGGGACCGGGAGCTGGAGCGGGACCCGGAGCGTGTGAACTTCCTGCCCTACAACCTGAGCCTGGAGCTCGTGCCCCGGCAGCTGACCGCCGCGGACCCGGAGTCGCTGCTCCGCTGCGCGTGCCAGGGCGTGGTGGTGCAGGGAGTGTCCGCCGTGCTCGCGTTCCCGCAGAGCCGCGAGGAGCTGCTACAGGTGGACCTCACCGCCTCCTCCCTGGAGATCCCCTTCATCAGCGTCCTCCAGCACGGAGAGCCGCTCCGCACGCAGGTAAGAGCTGCGCCTGCGCGAGCCCGCACCTGGACCCTGGGCAAGTGTTTCGGAACCGCCCGGAACCACCCGGTCTGAGTCCCCGGTTTGACCTTGACCTGTGTGACGTCTGGAGGTGTGTCGGGGGGGAACTGCGCTTGCGCGTATGTGTGCGTTTGCTTATTTGCTCTCATGGATTCACTTTGAAGCTTCAACAACTGAAGAACAGGGATGAGAATGTGGAGGAGAATAGAGAACAGGGAGGAGAACATGGGGGAACAGAAAGGGAGTAGCAGAGAAACCATCTGAGGTTGATTAACTGAAACTCAGGTTAGGTGGAGCTCAGGTGTGTAACAGGTTGGATGAGAAAAATCAAAGCTGGTCTGATGTGAGGAGAAGTTCCTGCAAGTCGAGACTGGACCGATCAGATTTATCAGTGAACTGACTGATCAGTTAAGAGAGACAGAATGTTTTCCGTGGATGTTTCAGGAGAAGTTGGTTTGATGAAGACTTTGGAAATTAGTCCTGCCCATCTAAAGGTGACAGTGGTGGCACCTTGGTGCTGACACAGTCACATCTAAAGTATTATTTAATTCTGGTTTCCATGAAGATGATGTTTCATCATCTTCACAACCACGAGAGGTCCTTGCGTTAAACTTCAGCTCACAAGCAGATGATGCTTTGGCCTCTGTTGTGGGTGGAGCGTCACTGTAAGTCTGAAGCCTGAGCCGCATCAATGTTGATACAAAGCAGAGAAACGTCTTTTAAACAGAGATGCTGGACTTCCTGTTCTGTTCTCCAGGTGTGGCGTTGGTATCAGTAAGTGTGCGGAGGCACTGTGCATGTCACTGCTAATTGAATTAAACTTCAGCAGGGGTGGATCTACAGGGTGGCATGGGGGTGGCATATGCCACCCTAAAATAATCTCATGCCACCCAAGTTTTGCATATGACAATGCTATTTATTAAAATAAGGTAGCATTACCACTTTGAGCCTGGTTACAATTAACATTGAATATAAATTCTAAAACTACCACCACTAAAAAATGGTCCAGCCCCTAGCCTGAACTGGCTTTATTTCTTGAAGTCAGTAGCAACCGATGCTTATGATTGCGCTAGAGCACATTTTGAATCAAAACTATGGGCATTTCAGATTTCAGCAGAGGTGGCTAATTGTTACACTCTGGAAATGGAATGTAGTAACCGTCTGGGGTCCACAGACATGCTGCGTTGCCAAATCACGTGACCAATTTAAGCTGACATAGCTACAAGCTGCAGCCACGCTGAGTCTTTATTTCAGCTTGTGTTGAAAGTTGGACTTCAAACTACATGCCAATTTTTACGTTTTACTTTTAGGCCACTAAAACCAGAGTTATAATAAAAAATATAGAATTTTCTGAATACTAGCGTCATGTTTTGTGCAGGAAGAAACAGTAAAAACAGGGTTTTCTAAGGGCAGCGGGGGAAAAAGAAAAGGAAAAAAATGCCACCCTTTCGTGGAAAAGTGTACCACGTCGACCAATAGAAATGACACAGCAACACGTGGGATTTGGTTATTTATGAAGAGGGGAAATTTTTCAGAGTGATGGTGATGAAAGAGAGCGAGAGGGAGCAATATCGACAGCGAGTTTTGAGATGTGACAGATTTGTGATGTGTAGCGTATTTGGGGTGTACAGTTAGTGTGTTGTTGTTGTTTTGTTTTGTGTGTCAGAACAGAGGCGAGTCCTGAATGTCACAGTTGGTGCCAAAAACCCTCCATATGCAGACTGCAGTGTAAACGCTGTCTCCAGGTGGGAAACAGAAGTGATACACCTCCTGCTGTCAGGCCTGCAGGTTTCAGACCTGTAGTGTTCTCCTCTCTCTTTGTGTGGCATCTTATTGTGACTCCTGATTGTTCTCTCATTTTAGTTTTGGTATTTATAAATGGTTGTAGAAAAAACGCCTGATGCAGCGGCTGTGATTTTAGGCAAATACATAATTTATAACTTTATTGTGTACAACATTTGTGCATAGGTTTTTAAAATGTACAATTTATATTTGCATTTCAAGTTATGAAAATAATTCACGAAACACTTCTGTAGATCTACAGTGAAAAATGTTAAATTTTTGCCGACTTGATTTTGTGTGATTTCAGATCAGTTGGGTTAATACAGTATGTCAAAATGAAAAGATAACTGTAAATTCAGACGAATGAGATTGTACTGAAAAGAATGATACCAAGCAAGGCAAGGTTTTCCACCTTTTAGGGGTCAATTATAAAGATAAACTCAAATTGTAGTCAGCAATGGGCAGTTATATCCTGGAACCCAGAAACTTAACCCGATAAATCATGACAAATTAGGTTTCAATGTTTTGTGAAAAGTGTTTCATGACAGTGCAGATTTCTGGCATTTTGTGTAAATTTAAGTACGTAACAATTTAATTATTTGTAATTTTAAAAAAATAGTTAGACCTGTGTGTTTGTAAATGAACCACCTTGCGTTTTGTAGGTTCTGGATTTTAAACTTATTGGACTGCATGCTTACTTATCATCCAGGCTATACAGTACATAATATCAAAATTCACATGTTTTATGTAACTGCAATCTTTAATTATCTGGGCCAAAGAAAACAAAGTTATAGACAATATTTCCATGAGACATGTGCGTACTTACTGTATTTTATGTATTTTAACCTCATATATATAATGATGTAACAGGATGTAACACCTGTGAGACAAAGGCTTTGATTTTCATGCCACCCTAAGAAAATTTCTCCTGATCCGCCCCTGTACTTCTGACAGCCTATCACACAAGACCAAAGCTCAAAGTCCACCACATGCTGTTAACTGAGCTGTGTTCAGCTCAGCTGTGTGGAAATTAACCATCATTTTTGTTGATTATTGATTAGTTTTATTCTAGACAGCTAACTGATCAATCAGCTGAACCGAGGCAGTAACATCAAAGGGTTCATGTTCTTTCTTCCCTGACTGACTATTCTGAAACAATTAGCAGGTTTTTAGTCTTTATGAAAATATAAAATTTTATCAATGTTATTTTATTTAGTAGAGGATGCAGCACTTCCTGTGGGAGGGTTTCAGAGTAAAAGCCTAACTGTGGTGATGGGATTAACTGAGCAGAGATTTTCATTTTGTAACGCTAAAAACAATCCGGTTAAAGCTGCAAACTCAGACACACACACACACACACACACACACA